ACCCCTCTTTTTACCCCTTAGTTCTGAAATCATTTTCCACTGGTTCCTGGTTTTTGATTGATCTGTCTTTTACCGTTTCACTTTAATCATTATTTCCAATGTTCTCATTAACTTCAAAATTTCTATTTTTTTAAAGATTTTATTGGTTTGTTTTTGCATAGAACTGTGGCCCAGAGATGTTCGGGGTTCAGGGTGAGAGGATTTACCAGAGGCAGAGTGGGGAGCAGACAGAGGTGGATCCTCTGAAATAAACTCCTAAAGGGAGCAGCAGATGAGACAGGAGAGGTTGCTGCACAATGTGGGTTATCTCCTTGGCCAGGGATTGGTAGGCCCTCAAGGTAGTAGCATTTAGACATAACCCCAGGCCACCAGGGAGGCCCAACTATATAATTTTTTAAATTTAAAATGCATTGGTTTTCTATCCCCTTCTGTTACAAGGTCAGCCACATGGTGGCATAGATCCTTCCCTGATTTGTTCAACAGTATCCCAAGGGCCTGGATCACTGATGAGCAAAAAGTGTGTGTGGATAAGATGGGAGTGAGTGGCCTGTATACACTGAGCAAAGGCTGATTTTATATCTCTAATTCCACATCTTTAATCAGTCTCCAACCCTCTCAAGCCAATGAATCTAAGAATTCCTTCTACTCGATCATAGTCTATGGTGAGATGATGGTATGACCAAGAATTAAGTTAGATATTTAGAGCCCTCAAACACAGGGGTTAAGGAGATTTAGATATGCTGTATACAAAGAGGGAGCATGTTACAATGACTGCCTGAAAGGGGCTTGGATGAGTCACATATGTGTTCAATTCTGGCTTTGTAGCTTATTATTCAGATTTAGAAGAGTCATTAGGATTCTCTTGTTCCTCATCTGTTACACGGGAATATGAATACCTGTCCTATCCACCCAAAAGGAAACAGGGCTATGATCTGCAGGGGTTGTGTCAAAGTCAAATAGGCTATATTTACTGACCATTTACCGTTTTAAACCATTATACATATCACACCAATAGCACACTAAGATAGTTTGGAGGTATATTTTGACCTTGTGTTGCGAATATGGAATTGCATGAGAGTAAGCAAGTTTAATAGATAGCATAATCCATTCCAATTACTTTACAAATATCTTGTTAAGTCACTCCCTCTGTTTCCAGCATTCAGTAATGGTATTCAATAGGCACTCAGGGAGTGTTTGCTGTATTTATTAATCTCAAATATTTTGCCATTAATAAATACAAAAGGAGAAACTTCAAGTAAATGAGACCTACAAACGTGCTAAGTACTAGTTGGTCTTAAATTCTGGAGAGAATACATAAATAGCAAATTGTAGCCCTTGCCCTATTGGAGATTATAGTCTAATTGTGGGAATGGTTAATTATACAAGTAAAAGTTAAATAGATTTAAGAGAAAAAGAGACAACAGCTTTTTGCATTATAACTTTGTTGATTCAAATGTCACTCTTACCATTAAATCCATTTGTACTAGGGCCAAACTCTATTCATGTGTAGACTAAAGAGTCTCTACAACATTAGCACTGGTTCCAAAAAGGCTCATAAATAGACTTATGATGTGAGTTAAAAATGTCCCCAAATGTTTCTAATTCTTCATCTTGGTAACAATAAATGAAAAGATCTATAAATACAGTTCTAATTAACAGCAATATTGTGGTGTTTAGAAATAGATCATAGACTCTGAATCTGTAAGCATTCTCATAAGGAAATTTTGTTTTTCCCAGAGGGTCAAAATTAATTAATGTCCTTACAATTCATTTAGCAGCCCATTGTCTCAGAGATGCCTAAACAAGTTCAGTGAGCCTCATTAGAATATCAAGCTGATAAAATCAGGCAGCTTTGAAAAGAGCACTATGTAAAAATAAACTGTTTCAAGTAGTGATTTACAGGTCGGATCACAAAGAATTCTGTCAGAATGATTGCTTTTCTTTTCTGGACTACATTACTTGTATATAATATTACATAAATAACAGATTCAAATGGTTGTTAAGAAACTCACATAAGCTATGACAGTGCAAAAACAGAAAATGAACACACCTATTAATAGATCATAATTGTTCCATTAAAAGGTTACCAATTTGATCATTCATGTTTGTCTATTTGAACAATGCATGGGACTTTTCTCATATCTACTCATTATTCTGTTTACCTTTTCAGAAATTTAAAATTTTTGTACCATTAGTAGTATGTTTTTTTAAATATTTATTTATTTATGCATACAGAATTGGAATATAGGCCAGAGTTGCGAGGAAATGAGAGGTGGGGGTAAGAGGATTCACCAGAGACCATATAGGGAGCAGAACAGACAGATTGACTGAGATATACTGCTGAGAGGAGCAGAGGGGGGGTCTGCTGCGCCATGTGGGTGACACCCCCTCACCCATCCACCAGGGATTGAACTCGTGCTGCAGTGGCTGTGATAGCTTCATAGTGCTGTGTTTTAACCCTCTGTACCCTCAGGGAGAGCCCCCATCAGTAATATTATGCCAACAGATATGCTCTACTTATACTGTCTTATGATAAGAAAAGATTACTGTAGATGTTACTGAAGAACTCTGAGGCATTTGTATCAAAATGCTACTATCTGGATTGGCAAAGATGAAAATTGACTTATTTCTTATCATTTCTCTAAGAAGAAAAACACACTTATCCACTTATCCTCTAGAACTGTCAATAAGACATCAAAAACATGTTCTATGTATAGACAAAATGCACACTGCTGTGATTTTCATTTTAGGGCTTTTGGAAACAATTTAAGAAGTTTCTACTATATACTTTTTATGTTACGACATGTTCAAAAAGTAGGCTACTAGAAAGCATCATAGCTAAAACTATTTTGTAAAAATAACTGAAGTTATTCAGCCATATTCTGAAAATTACTGAATTAAGTAAAACTATTTTTATTTGCAAATATGTTCATTAAGAAAGAATGGCGCGGGCCCTCCCCGGTGGTGCAGCGGGTTAAAGCACAGCACTAAGAAGCTAAAGCCACTTCCGCATGAGTTCGATTCCCGCCTGCCCCGGAGGTGACCACATGGCGTGGCAGACCTCTCCTGACCCGCCCGCTGCTCCCCTCAGCAGTGTACTTCATCAGTCAGCCTGTTCTGCTCCCCACTCTGTCTCTGGTGAAGCCTCTTGCCGCCCCTGCACCTCTAGCCGGTATCCCAGTTCTGTATGCATAAATAAATAATCTTAAAAAAAAAAAAAAAGAAAGAATGGCGGATGCACAAAGTGTACTGATGACTACTAGGGAAGACTTTCCTTTTCTTGCTTATTTATATTTAAATATTTTAGAAAAAAGAGATCCTTATAACATTGATGAAAAGAACTTTAGTAAAAAGCATAAGAATATAATTTACCTCGTCAATCTTAAGATGCATTAAACAACAACTACAAAACAAGAATGAATACCTATACTGTACTGGGACAGTATATGTGTGATTTTCCTGGAACACGTATATAAATTTATTGTTCTCTTTTCACAGTCATAAAATGTCTAGGTGAATCTTATATTCTTTGGCAATAAAATCATTTTAATTGCATATGGTCTTTTTTTTTTATTGTGCTTAATGTGTTTTGAGGAATATTGTATTAGTTAGGGTTCTCCAGAGAACCAGAACCAATAGGTTTTATATAAAAAAAGACATTTATTATAAGTAATTAGTCCACATTATCAGCAGTGGCAAGTCTAAAATCAGTAGTGTGGACCAGCAAGATGGAGATCCAGGAGTGCAGAGAGTACAGTAAAGTTCAAAGACGGTCTTTTGGGAAAGTTCCCTTTACTTAGGGAGCTTTTTTCCCCCTCTATTAAAGTTTTTTACTGATTGTATGAGACCCATTCACATCATGAACATGGACTTAATCTCATCCTAAAATTACCTCCAAGTTGACTATAAAATTAAACTTAATAAATATTTTAGAGTTACTTTATACTCTTAAGAAAATGGTTGCCTCTAAAATAGTTTTTAGAAAACCCATTTTATTCTTAAGAAAGTGAAAGTCTTCAGAAAAGAGAAGTGCTGAAGATAGTAAAAGCAACTAAAATTACAAGCTTAATCACAAGGCAGGAAGTAAAGGTTGTTAAATTATTGATGCCCATTCATTTTCTGTTTCCACTTATTTTTACATATCTACCCCCCAGATCTCAGAGAAATGGAAATAAAATGCTGGTCAACTATTAGCTATTGCAGCAGCACAAGAACTGTTATCATTGCTAACTATATACCTTTGCTTGTTGTATACATTAATCTGAATGTCCTCTATCTCTGTCCAACTAGGGACTTCAAAGACACCATTAGGTTATATTAAATAAAATATGTGAGTCTCTTAAAATATAAATTATGGGCTTTGGGCCCTCCCTGGTGATGCAAGGGGTTAAGGTGCAGCACTATGAGGCTGTCCATGACCACTGCAGCACGAGCTTAATCTCCGGCCGGGGAGGTGACCCACATGGTGTGGCAGACCTCTCCTGTCTCACTTCTGCTCCCCTCAGCTGTGTGCTTCAATCAGTCTGCCTATTCTGCTTCTCACTTTGCCTATGGTGAATCCTCTCATACCCCATGCTTCTGGCCTGTACCCCAGTTCTTGTATGCATAAATAAATAAATCTTTCAAAAAAAAATCATATATAGCTAGATGATTTTTACAAGAGACTCATTTAACTATCGATAAACATAAACACAGACTTAAAGTGTAGGGATATATATTGGTATGCCAAGACAATGAAAAGTTTAAAACATCAGATAGTAAGAGACAAAGATGGGCCTAATATAATGAGGAAAGGATTACTATATATATACAGGGGTTTCTCAGCTTAGGGATCTATATAGTATAGTTAAGGGTTAATATAGATGGGAAGATCTCTCTTTTTATAAACTCTGTTTAGCTTTACCCCCACACAGATGTAAATAATGCACTCTAATACTTGCTCAGATAAAGCAGATTCCAACCAAATGGATTATTTGCCATGGTCTCTCTATTGTACTTACCTGGTGTGTGATCAGAGTCTGGACTCAAATTTTCAGTTCTACTTCCAATGGCCCAATCCAAGTCATCTTGAGAATCTTGAATAAGACCACAAGCTGTGGTCCAGTTCTCAGAAGTTATTTCAAAATTGCAGCTTCCTATTGTATTTGTATACTGGCCTAAGGAAACAAAAATGGAATATCAACAAAGTATATATCAAATGATAGTGTACTATCTTTGTGATTTAAAAAAACTGAAATTTACATATTGTAATTACATATGTTAAATTTAAATAGGACATTTGTACTCAGTAATAAAATCAGTCTGTACTATAGTTTTCTATTTTAAATCACAAGATCTTGTGTGTGGATAATATCAATTATTCATGAAGGAACTATATAGATTCAATAGTAATAGTTTCCTATGACAAAAAATTTGTATACATATGAAGTATAATAATAATATAGATAATTCAGTTTTAACAAATATACAGCTGCTGTGGTCTGAATGTTTAATAAGTTCTCTCTGTTGACTCTGGTATTTAACAAATAGATCACTAGAAAAGTCATTTACTAAAGAAAATTTGCTTTGTGGGAAGAAACAAAAAGTGTATGATACAGACCCTCTCTGTATACCACTTTAGAGCTCACACTTCAGAACTAATTACAAAAATATGAAAGAGGTTCTTATCTAAGTGTTGATTTATAGCTCATTTAAAAATAAGCTATTCACAATGAGAAAAATTACTAGACAATAACGAAGTGTCTATTACACAGTCATCTGTGAAAAGTGCCATCTTAATGCCCTGATATCGGCTTTGTTTTTTTTTTTCTTTTTTTACATAGCAGTTATTATTTTTGAGTATTCACTATAAAAAATGACTGTCCCCTGCAGACAGGATGAAATATTGATTTATTTAAGCAGAATCAAGTTAGATTAACATTGAATTTTCATTTTTAGAAAGATGATGTTTGTGTTATATTAAACATTTATCCCTCATATGTTTTCTTGTTCATGACTTATTTTTTAAGGATTTATTCTATTTATTTCTATAGAACTTGGGTACAGACCAGAGATACAGGGGAGGTGAGAGAATTCACCAGAGACAGAGTGGGGAACAGCACAGGCAGATGGACGAAGTACACTGCTGAGGGGAGCAGTGGGGTGAGACAGGAGAGGTCTGCTGAGCCATGTATATCACCTCCCAGATGGGGATGGAATTCTCACTGAAGCAGCTGTGGCTAGCTTGTAGTGCTGCATCCTAACCCGATCATCCTTGCACCTTCAGGGAGGGCCCTCATGACTATTTCGTAACATAGATTAATGTTAGGTATTCTTTATCTCTCCCTTGTACTTAAAAAGACCAACAGACTGCATCAGACAGAGATACTTATTGGACAGGATGAAAGGAAAAGGCAGAAGGAAAGACGGTCGCCGTGAGTCTGTTCACCAAAAGGAAGAAGTGCTATTTTATTTCAGAGCTGAACTTATATACACATTAAAGGTATCATGTCGAGTGCCCACTGGCCGGGCCACGGTCAGGCAGAGAGAGAGGCAGGAGGAGTCGCGCGGAAGAGTGACCGAAAAGAAAAGATACAATTAGCAGGATGGACTAAGCCCATGGCCATATCTAGCAGGGAAAGATGGCCAGGCCCAGCTGGAGCCAAGGACGGTCTCCTTATCAGCCGGGGCCCAGAACTGCAGAGTTAGCAAACTGTTGTCCTTCACAGGAAGTAGGTGGAACGAAGTCCGGAGGCTACGACTTAGATTACGGACATAGAAGATAGGCCTTTTGACTCAGCAAGAGCCCTGGGGAAGGCAGAACCGACACTATGGAGGCATATATCATGGCCCAGTGGAGTCCGCATTGAGGGGCTGAGTAGCACACAGGCCAGAAACCTGAGAAGCTGCATAACTTCAAGTCACTCTGAGTTCTATTCCCATCCCCCACCCTTGTGACTGGTACTGAGTTTGTGCAGTACATTAAAGACAAGCAGGCTACTGAGTCTTTGATCCGATACCCTGAAGACATTGGCAGTGCCACAAACACAGACCAGTATCTCTCAAAATGTTTGCTACAACACTGGATCCCTCCTGCTTAAAATACCTTGTGCTTAAGATACCTTGCTCTGCTTAAGAAGAGCCCTTAATCTCTTTGTAATTAGAGACCTGGAAGCAAGGCCAAAAATAAAATAAAGTTAATTAATTTCATGCTATCAAAGAAAAATAATTCAACTTTCTATCCTACTGATCTAGATGTTAACAAACAAAAATGGGGAGGGGGAGTTAACAACATGGGCAGCCCCAAAAAGATAGCACATGACAAATTGAGACCTCAAGGGCGTATGCCTACAAAATCGAAAACAGCATTCTAGAACCCAACCACAAACACTTATATGATTATATTTTGCTATCAGATAGCGTTCAAAACAGCTATACAAAGAACCTCAGTGAAGTGAAGGGAAACACAGACAAGCAAGTCAAAATGATACATTAAAACTCAGAAAAGCTAAGCAAAGAGTACAGCAGAAATCAGAAAAAAAAATGGGCTCATAAAGCTGAAGAACAAACATAAAAACAGAGTCAGCATACAAAGAACTCAATAAATACAATCAAGTGTGCTAGGGAAATTATAGAACTAGAACAGAGAAGGTAGAAGAACAAATCAGTGAACTTGATAGTCATATAGAGGATACAGGTGAAAGACAGAGAAATAAGATGCTAAAAAATGAGAGAACACTGAATACTATCAAATTCCACTAGGAGAAGCAACATAAAGATTATGGATATCCCTAAGGCAAGGGAAAGGAAAATATAAAAGGGAAAGAAGAGTTTATTCAAAGAAAAAATAGAGAAAAAAACCTTGAAGTTGGGAAGAAACTAAATATGTAAAACCATTCAGCTAAAAGAATCACCCACAATAAAAAACATAGTAGCTGACTATCAAGCATTCAAGACAAAGAAACAATATTGAATATGGCTAACATCAACAACCAAATATGTTTGCTGAAACACTACAGGCAAGGAGTAAGTGGATGGCCTATTCACAATACTCAAGATACAGACTGCTGGCTAAGAACACTCTACCTGCAAAACTCTCAGATATGAGGGAGAAATTAAGTCTTTCTCAGAAAAACAAAAACTGATAGTTTGCCAACATTTTATACCTCCTTCAAGAAATGTCAGTAGCTCCTCAATCTAAATCTGTAAAGATTTTATTTATTTATTCTTGGATAGAAGAACTGGGGTGCAGGCCAGAGGTGTGAGAGGTGAGAGGATTTACCAGAGACAGTGTGGAGAGCAGAGCAGGAAGACGGACTGAAAGACACTGCTGATGGTAGCAGAGGGTGAGACTGAGAGGTCTGCTGTGCCATATATGGCTTAATTCCCTGGTCAGGGATTGAACTCAGGTCAGCATGGTGGTATGTTGTGGTGATAGAACTGAGACTTAATCCCTAGACTACCACAGAGTCCTTTCAACATAAAACAATAAAAAGAAAGTCCACAAAATTTTGAACAAGAAAAAAAGATAATACAGAACCAAAAAATTAATGACAAAATGGTTGTAGAAAGCCCTCATATATCAATAATCACCTCTAATGTAAATGGAATAAATTCATCAATCAAGACATAGAGTGGTCAGATTGAATAAACAGCAAAACTAGCTATATGATTTTCACAAGGGCCTCATTTAACTATAAACATAAACACAGACTTAAAGTGTAGGGGTATATATTGGTACTCCAAGGCAATGAAAAGTTTAAAACATCAGGAACCACCACAGTTGTATCAGATAAAATAGAATTCTGGTCAAAAAGGTAGCAAGAGACAAAGATGGGCCTAATATAATGAGGAAAGGATGACTACAGCAGAAAGAAATATCAATTGGCAGTATTCATGCACCAAAATATATAAAGTAGATATGAACATATTCAACAGGAGTTCTTGACAGCCACATAATAGTATGGGAATTTAACATCCCACTGATAGCTATGGACAGATCATCAACATATTCTATGCAGCCTACGTTATTCTGACCCAAAACCAGACAAGGAAGAGAAAACTGTAGACCCAAGTCCCTGATGAATAGAAATGAAAGATTCTCAAAACTATACTAGTAAATTGAATTCACAATTAAGAGTCATACATGGGCCCTCCCTGGTGGCTCAACAGGTTAAAGCATAGCACTGTGAAGCTATCACAGTCACTGTAGCATTCAATCCCAGGCCAGGCGAGTGACCCCCCATGTCGTGCAGACCTCTCCTGATCTGCCTGCTGCTCCCCTCAACAGTGCATTTCAGTCCATCTGCCTGTTCTGCTCCCCACTCTGCCACTGTGAATCCTCTCACACCCCACATCTCTGGCCTGTACCCCAGTCCTGTGTGGATAAATAAATTTATAAAAAAAGAGTTAAACATGATTGTTTGGGATTTACTCTAGAGATGCAGGAAAGGCTGAACATATGTGTATCAATAAACATGACAAAACACATCAACAAAAGAAAGGAAGACATCATTATCATTTTAATAGATGCAGAAAAAAGCATATAAGACTCATCATACTTTTATAACAGAAACACTTAACAAAACAGATGTAGAAGGAAACTATCTCAACACAATAAGACAAAACCCACATCATTCTCAATGGTTAAAAATTTGAAAGTTTTTTTCTCTAAGATAAGGAACAAGACAAGATGTCCATCCTACTCTAGATCCATACTAATCAATGAAATGTTGTCAGGGACAGTAGGAGTAACTAAAAAAGAAAATGATATAAAAGGAGCCCACACTGGAAGGAGAAAAGTGAAACTATTACTATTTACCCATAACAGAGAATTCATATAATATCCCCAGAGCTCCAGTAAAAGGTATTAGAATTAAGAAGTGAATATAGTAAAGTGATAGGTTACAAAATTATTTACAAAAATCTGTGAATCAACTTCAGGATTGCCAAGCTTTTAGATTTCTTTCTTTGTGATAGTACATTTTGCTCATTACTGGCATCAGTATGTACTTTCTCCCAAGTATCTACAAAATCAAGTAACAATAGCTTAGACAGAAATTAATTGATCTCAATTAACAAGCAGTCATAAGTTGTCACTTTAAGGTTGGTATTATGGTTAAACTGTGACATTATAAAGCACAGATTTCCATATTTCCTCTCTGTCATCTTGTCCTTTTCATGCTCATTCACGGTTGAAAAATGACTGTCAAATTTCCCACAAATATTCATGACTTTGAAAGAAATGGAAAAGGAAAGAAAAAAAAGAGCTTTATTCTATTTTGGTGCTTTTCCTTTCTGAGAGATAACCTTCCCAAATGGTTCACTTATATTTCATAATACATTCCATACCTACTTATGTTACCACAGTAGAAATTAGTTTTGAAGTTTAAAACAATATATTATTAATTTTTATGCATCCAATAGTTTAGGAAGTTGTTCCTTGCTCATAATAGGAATAGAAGTAAATTAAGAGAGTAATTTTATAGAAGTAGCTTCAATATAGGTGCAACTTGAAATAAGATAATTACTATCTGTAATAACCATCTGTATTTGACAGTTGTCATTTTTTTTTTTAAAGATTTATTTATTTGTACATACAGAACTGGGCTACAGGCAAGAGCCTCAGGGGTGGCGAGAGGCTTCACCAGAGACAGAGTGGGGAGCAAAACAGAGAGATCGATGAAGTACACTGCTGAGGGGAGCAGAGGGCAGGTCAGGAGAGGTCTGCCGCACCAGGTGGGCCACCTCTGGGGCAGGCGGGAATCGAACTCATGTGGAAGTGGCTTTTCGCTTCTTAGTGCTGTGCTTTAACCCGCTGCACCACCAGGGAAGGCCCCAGTTGTTATTTTTACACCACTAAGTTATGCAATCATGTTCGAATTATTCACCTTTATAATCTTCATACATTTTGGCCATGTTTTTGATGTCTTATCTGTGATTATTATACATTCTATTTGTTATACATTATGAAGAAAATAGTAGTTTCACAAGAAAGTTTCGTTAGATTTCTTTTGAAATCAATTCCATATAGCTGGTATCTAAAACTAATTTTTTTTTTTTTTGCAATTAAAGGAGCTAGAAATAATATTAGAAAAATATTCAATATAGTATATAATTTGTTTGATAATGCATACACGATAAAGGGAATACATAGTCTTTTACCAAAATAGCATTAAAATGTAGTACTCAAAGTATAGTTTTAAGTAGTACCACCAACTTCATTTGCTTCTATACCCTGATGTAAAACTGAAATATGGGATGAATGTTCAGAACATTATGATAAACTCTTCACAAAAAGACACATTTATAATTCTACTTAGATGAGGGGCGAAGAGTCATTGCATACTTTGAAACAGAAAATAGAATGATTACTGTCTGTCTCTGGGGTGTGGGGAGAATAGAATGCAATCTTTAATGAGTATAGAGCTTTAATTCTTCAAAATTAATAAAAAAATCTGGAGATGAATAGCAGTGACAGTTGTACAACAGTGCAAATCTACCTAATAATAATGAATTGTACAATCAAAATGATTAAAATTATATAGTTTCACTACATACACTTTATTTAAAGATTTATTTATGCATACAAGAACTGGGCTATAGTTCAGAGGTGTAAGGGGTGGGTTGAGTGGGTTTGCCAGTGGATTCATTCATACAGAATGAAATACACTGCTGAGGGGAGCAGTGGGCAAGACAGGAGAGGTCTGCTGTTCCATGTAAGTAACCTCCTTGGCCTGGGGTCAGTGGCTGTGCATAGCTTCATAGTGCTGGCTTTAACTCGATGCACCACCAGGGAAACCTCTACATATTATTTAATTCGATTTAACCTTATTTCACTTTCAATAGTACAAAAGAAAATGAACACTTTCAAAACACTACCACTATAAGCAATTGAAGAATCAAAATGATACTAGGTAAAAATCAAAGATGAAATAAGAATTCTGTGGTTCTCCCTTCTTTTCACATGGAGAGGTGGAGCCTGGTCCCTTTTTCTCTTTGAATCTCAGCTAGCTTTATTTTATTTACATGTAACGTGGAACATCTGAGACTAAATCACAAGAGCACTTGCAGTTTTTCCAGAGGTTCTTGGAGCAAGCCATAGGGCAGCCAAAGGATGGAAAGCCAGTCGCAGGATTGCCCTGGACAATGAGGCGTGCGTAGAGTGAGAATCAAAGACAAAGAGTAGTGATGTGCCAAATGCAGAGAGGTGAGGTCATTCTGGAAATGGTCCTGCACTTCCAGCCTTCCCAGTTTACAGCACGTGGATGAGAGAGGAGCTGGTTAGCACTCCTTTCAACAGTACTGACCCACACATGAAAATAACTTAGTCCACTAACTCTGAGGTAGTTTGTGATGTAGCCTGTATGGATGGTATCAAGATTCCATCTGAATGGAATGTTCATAGGTTTTAAATTATTTTAAATTATTTGACTTTACATTTACACTCATATTTTAAAAGTACATGCTTAGTTTTATACATTCCTTTTAAAAGCATCACTTGATTTAAAGCTTAATAAAATAAAAAGCCCAACATGGCTTATCTACCTCTTTTGCCAGTATGATATAATTGCTAAAATTACTCATTAAAATGGTATTTATCCAAGTGATCATTTTTAGCCTTGTTCAAAGTAAACTAGTTATCTTTTGGAGAAGGAATGGGAAAAGAAATGAAAAAAATATAAACCGTTAGGTCAGTTACTGGCAGTTTGAATTTGACCTACACTGAGTTCTTCTAACAATGCCACAATGAAATAATTTTTAAAATGATTTACCATTGATTTGTTACAGTTCTTAATGTGAAGGTGAAAGGATGAATAATAAATAAATCTGTCATTTGGATATTTGTATAGACAAGTTGGATAATGTTTTGGCTATTTTCTAAATCTATTATAGCACATTAAAGAATGTTTCTTCTCTTTTCTTTTTAAAGATTTATTTATTTATAAGTAGACAAATTGGAAACAGGCGTGAGGTACAGGGTGAGAGGGTAAGAGGATTCATCAGATACAGAGTAGGGAGCAGAACAGGTGGATTTACTAAAATACACTGCTAGGGGGACAAGACAGGTGAGGTCTGCTGCGCCATCTGGGTCAATTCCCTGGTCAGGTACCGAAATCAGGACCTGGAAATGACTTAACCATTAAGCCTAAAGGCAGTCCCAAAGAATGTTCCTTCCCAGTCATCAAAGTTGTACATTACCCTACCAGTAAAGCTCTGTGTTGAATCTGCTGCATTATAGCTACAAATATACTTACCACAATTAGTTTCATCAGACCCATCTAAGCAATCTCGTTTATAGTCACAGACGTGGTGGGATGCAATACATCTCTTGTTGTGGCACAAAAAGTCAGTGACTTCTGGGCAAATCTCAGAAGTCTCTTCCACTGGGGAAAAACAAAAGCGTTATTTGTCATATTTTCAATAAATTTGAATAATCTTTTAATCATTTTATAGATTCCACTTTGTTAAATACATAAAATATTTTAACAACTATCCAAAGTTGACTCAGAAGCAATTCCCTTTACTCACTCCCACTTCCAACTGCCCAGCAAAAAACTTAGGTTGTGCTTTCAAAAAAGTATTACTAATCAAGAACTGATCTTTACCTACTATATAAAACCACACTCAGAATCAAGATGTTAATGATATTTTGGTTCCAGCTAAGTTTTCCAATCTCTTGTACTGAAACTCTTTTATTAAGCACTTACAGACAAAATAAACCCTGTGACTAAGAGTTTCCAAATATGCCACTTTCTCTACACATTTGTGTGTGTGTGTTCACATATACTCTCTTTTGCCTGAACTAACTATCCATTCTCTCCTGCAAGTTCTGCTTATCCTCAAGACTCAAGGAAAGACTCTCTCTCCTGTCTTGACATTCTCTTTGCCATCCAAGCCCTGGATTGGATTCTACCTGTTCTGTACTACCAAATAACACTTTTATCCAAATACTAGATGCTTACCACTTCATTTAAAAGATGTTTACATGTATACTGTCCTTCCAGACCTCAAATATTTAGAAGTAGTTTTTTCTGTCTTCTTGAACCTAATACTCTGTATGTAATAGTTTGTCCTTTATAAATTGTGATTATAATCATTGAAGACATAAGGCTTCCATCTAATAGGGATTTAGAATGTGAATTGACAAAATTTTTTAACACAATTGACATATTTTAATATCATTTTAAATGACAAGAATTCTAAAGATGATACTTCAATATTTTAGTGTGATGGACAGTAAAGGCCAAAATTCACTTTTATCAACTCCAACAATTCAATAATTTTTAGTAATGTCTTTGTTGCATAGGCATGGATAGATTCAAAACTGCTTTGCATAAGTTGGCAAACTAGTAAAATTCTATAAACTTCATTACATGCACTTCCATAATCTTTGAATCATCCTCAGGCCATTAGTTAATACCTGAGTAACGTCCAGAAATAATTTACTAGTAAAATGTAATCTAAATACGAAGAATGTAGAGAGGGAATCTGCAACAACAGCAAATATTTCAACTATGGACAACAAAAAGATGCATCATTAGAGGCCATGCTTATTGAGCAGCTTATAAGCTTTGCCACATAATTTTAATTAACACTAGTGAGAATTTATAGTTAATTCAGACAGTTTGTGGGCACTATTTAGTATGCAAATCTATAGATTGGAATTTTGTTTTTAATGCCATAGGCTGTGAAGCCATATAATTATTCCACAGGGGAAATGCATTTTGATTTATAATTTAAATAGTTAGTTCTGTAGTTTTAAATATGACTAAATTAGACTACATCTCTAAATGATACTATTTCTTTAACAATACAGAATAACAATACAGAATATTAAAGACATGAAGAGAAGTCAAGTCAGTGCTTTGAATTTCATTAAATTGACAAAGGCTTGGAATATCCATGGCACATGAGTTTCACCAATAATAAAGAAATAAAAAGAACCTATATTTCAAGAAACATATATCTTCCTAAACAAGAGTAAAATAGAATGCTGTTAGCAAAAACATCATGATAAATCTAATAGGTAAAGAATGTCTTATATCGTTTTAACCATTTTAATTTCCTCTTTTAGTTAAAATGATAAAAGTACAATAAAAAGAACAATGTGTACCTATTTGTTAAAATAAAATCCCCGAGCCCCTCTCGTGTTGCAACCAGTTAAAGTGCAGCACTACACGCTAGCTGTTTCTTCAGTACGAGTTTGATTCCTGGCACCAGAGGTGACCCACATGGCACAGCAGACCTCTCCTGACCCACTCTTTCCTCCCCTCAGCAGTGTACTTCATTGATATGCCTGTACAGCTCCCCATTCTGTCTCTAGTGAACCCTTTAACTGTCCCTGCACCTCTGGTCTATATCCCAGTTCTTTAAGAAAAAATAAATGAAATACCTGACATAGGAGTTTATGTGTTCATGTAAAAGTAAACATAAAGGAGCATTTGAAAGCACTCCCTATTTCAGAAACACTAAGATGTATTCTAGTAGCTAGAAGTGTCTATCATCTCAGCTAGTCATTTAACGAACAGGAAAAACCAAAGCCATAATTTTATGAATTTCCTTTATGAAGTATCATACTTCATAGTTTTTTATCTCAAGTTTGGGACATTGCAAATATGGAAATTCAGTTTTATTTGAAGGATGAGCAATGTTCAGGGTAATTGAAGGGAGAGAGACTCAACATAAAAATATTTTACAAAACTATTGTGTACCCCGAATCTTTTTCATAGACTAATTATGCATTTCACTCATGTTCTCTCTTACTATAAAGAGAAATATATCAGAGGAAAGGTGCAAAATAAGAGGCAATTTCAACACTGTTTGACTTATCAAAACATGACCAGGATTTTCAAATGTTCAGAAAATAACAATAGTATATTTTCTATTTTTATTCATCACAGTCATTTAAATCTGTCTTATGGGAGAAGAATAGCTAGGTTTTAAGGTCAATGCACATATCAAACAAATGATAGCTACACATCTGAAACTGCAACCTCAGTGATCTCAGTGACAGCAAAGTTCAGTTTATGTCAGAATTATCAGAAGTGTTATTGGATTCAATGGACCATGTCTCTGTGTACAGCAAGAGTTCATGGAAATATTTAAAAAATGGGACTTAACTGTGATACACAGAGGCAAGTTGCATGCTAAATGGCATATATCCTCCAGATTGACTTTTCATGTTTTAAACAAAAAGGTGACCTTAGGGCCCTTCCTGGTGGCACAACAGGTTAAAGCACCACATTATGAAGCTCTCCAAAGGCACTGCAGCACGAGTTTGATCCCCACCCCAGAGGTGACCACTTGGTGTGGCAGACCTCTCCTGACCCATCCACTGCTCCCTTCAGCAGTGTATTTTGTCAATCTGACTGTTCTGCTCCACACTCTGTCACTGGTGAAGCCTCTCACTCATCAGACCTCTGGCGTGTACCCCAGTTCTGTAAGCATAAATAACAAATCTTAAAAAAAAGGTGAGCTTATGCACTATTTCTAAATTTGTTTGAAAGAGCAATTATATATATTCTTTGGCCACAAAACTCATATTTCTATTTTGTTTTAAGATAGAGGCATATTTAAATATCCAGTTTTCTTTATGAATTCTCTATACAATTTAAGAACATCTGATTGCTGAATCCTAAGAAATACATATACACATATATCAAATAATGGCTTACAGTTTAAACAAAATAATTTTTAAGGCCTAAGGAGGATGAGGAAGTAATTAAAAAATAACAGAATGCCAAGAAAATTCAGCACTGATACTTGACACAATCCATTGTGCTTTTATGCATGAAGAAACATTTCTTAATGATCAGAAGTTTTCATCTTCTCCTGACCTTTTTTCAATTCCTATTAACTACTACAAGAATCACTGGCTTAGCTAAGAAATATCAGCCTTTCTATTTTGACTTCACTGTGGCAATTTTAGACCCTCCCCCCAAAAAAGTCTTTCTTTTTGACCTCTCAATTCTTTCAGTTCATTAACTAAAGAAATCATATTCCTATTATTCCATGATGTTGTAATCTTCCTTCTCCTCATTGTTTTTTTTTTCCAATCCAGGCCTTCAAATACCAGCAGGCCAAATTGTGACCCTCATCCAGCTTCCTTGGGGATTAGATTTACTGCCATTATTTTTTTACAAGATGGGGGTTGGTTATCTAATATCTGCATCCCAACCTGTACCTTCTTGAGTACAGTCGATTCTGATGTATTTTTTGTTGAATTTTGCTATAATATATTGGACATTCTAAAACTGGCAAAAAATACAAATTTTCTTCTTATTTTGTCTCCTACTTTATTTTTCTCTATTGCTTGCTTCACAATAAGCCTCATAATATGCACTTTTTTGTTTAATTAATATAATAGTTTACTTTTATATCATTTTGTGCCTTTTTCTATCTCAGTTGTAATCTCCATAGGCTTTACATCACCAAATTACCCGTGTTCCACCACCATAGTCCAGTGCACTTCCCCCCATTTTTGATCCCATCCCTCCCTCTACCCCCATAAAATGTCCCTAATATATAGTTGTGCATTATTATTATTATTATTATTTCTCCCCTGGTCCTTTATACTCCTGCTATAAGCGAAACCATCTGGTATTTTTTCTTTTCTTTCTGGCTTATTTCACTAAGCACAATCCGTTCCAGCTCCATCCATGTTGCTGCAAAGGGCATCCACAGATCCTCTTTTAATCTATATTTGCCTTTACTCATTTTTATGTTTCAGCCTTCATCAATTGTAAGTAGTGATGTTTGGCTATTTTCAACATATATGTGCAAATTTCTATTGCATATAGTTATTGTTAGGTGGTGGTTTCTCAGCCAGACACATTATACAGCTCCATTTTCAAGTGAGAAGAGTCATAAGAGTGAATTCTAGCCAGTAGAACTACGGCTTTTTTCTCTTTTGGTTGAGCAGAAAAGGGACAATCACTAGGAAGTACACTGAAGGCTAGAAAATGGAGTTCTGCATGAGAAAAACTGCCCAACTAATTTTTCTACCTGCAAATTACTGTAGAATGGATAAGAAATGAACTATTCCATGTGATAATAGTAGCCTAGTCTAATATGAGTATAATACAATGTTGATGAATATGATGATGCTTATGATAAAGGTTGTGACCCTGATGCTTATGGAGATTTGATGGCATATCTCAGCCTGTTTAAGCACATTGCATACATTAACTCATTTAATTCTCAAGATAGCTCCATGGGGCAGGTACAATAATTGTTCTCATTATTTAAATTATAAAAATTCACAAAGTAACTTAATAGCTAAGTTAGAATACATGCTTTGACTAAATATTTTTACTCCTAACCAATAAACTTAACACCAAGTCTCATCCTGCTCAAATGTACAAACCTAAAAGCCACAAGTTAAATTGTATTTCTCCCAAGACTAATTTACACACAGAGCTCTCTGGGGTCTTGGTTCTCTTAATTATAACAGGGTAGTGAAATACTGATAAGTTTTCTATTGAATTTATATGCCATACAACTGATAAACTAAATATGCTACTTCTCAAAAATAAAATAATGCTTAAAGAAAGCTAGCTTATAGTATTCATCATTACATCCCCAAAATAGAACTTATACACCAGGCATTAAATAATATTTGCTGAACTATGTTTAAATTTGAAAAAAAAAAACTGCTTATAATCTAGCATCACAAAAAGAATTGTGGGTTATTTGAAACACAGAATAACTTTTAACCATTATATGAGTACTAAGTATAAGAACTACATTAAATGAAATTTGAAATCATTAAAAAAGTCATTCCCAGTTAACAATGGTTATAAGAAAATAGGCAACTATTAAAACATGTTCAGAAAAAGGCTATATGATAATTATTCACAATGCCTATGTTCTAAAATACAATATATTATTTGACTTTGAGTGTCTATATAAACACAGTTAATTATACAATTTACTGGTTGCTACAGCCTGTAGTGTGTGATGACATGAGGTATGAAACAAAAATTATCTGAAGAGAAGCGAGCGAAAACAACATAGAGAATGGAGATAATGCTCCTTTTGAGGGAAACAGATTTGGTATGAGACATAAAATTATAGAGAGAAAATAAAAACACCCAGGAAATTTTAAAACTTATTAACAAGTGGTCCTTCTTTTAGGATATAACTACTATATTCTGGATTCCAACTCTAACTTGAATTAGATCCAAGAAGATTGGATGATGACATGTGCTTGGACCTAATTAAAATGTTCTAATTACTACACTGAGGAGAATGCACTTTGCACAAAGTTTACCTCCATTCTACTAAAGATGGGATGTAAGAAAAAAAAGTATGCTAGATCATCAATATCACATAGATATGAAAAATGTCAAAAGATGACAGGCTCAGTTGATAACTTTTGCTCCAGAATACTATTTTCTTTCACTTTGGTTAGACAATTTCTGCACCGTTTCTATGGAAGACTGCTTCAAAATACTGTTTAAAATACTAACACACACTAAGGATATATGCACATTTGACTATATTATGTGACAGTTGATTCATTTGAATTAGCTAAAAATCCACTCTTTCTATATCTTACCAAACAAGTTAGTAATTATTCTTGAATTGTTTTCTTTTACAACCACTATGGGATGATAGCATAATAACTAAACTGAAAGTCAATATTCTACTTTTAGCCCTCCAAATTGTAAAGCTCCCAAATAATCTGCAAGAAAATCATTCAAACACTCTGAATTGTTAAGATCTTTCCACTCCAAGAATCTATGCAATTTTACTTGAAGATACTTTCTTAGTGAAGCTGGAAAATAATCAAAGCATTAACATTTTTCAGTACAAGATACATAAAAATAATTACCCAAGTAGTTAGGCTAATGATACGGGGAGTTTGTGAGTATTAAAATGTAGAAACATATACTATGAAGTGTATATATCCCCAAGATTGGGTCATGAACATAAAAACTTAATGTGTGAGAATGTATCATAAGGATAAAAAACATAAATAGCTACAGTCTTATAAAATCAGGGTTATTATCTGCAGCTTTGGCTGGTGTTAAAAATATACACAAGATGAATACGTTTTCTAGTTCAAGGTGACTGTTCAGCTATGGCTTTAAATTCTCCTTGAAAGGGCACAGGTCTGAAAAATCCAGACCATGTTGCAAGCCTATCTTCATCTCTATACTCATCATTTCTTGGTCCTCCCCCCCCCGCCTCTTCGAGTTTGTATGCCAGCAGTGGGGTCTACTAATGAGAGGAAAAGATCTGCAATGGCCTCTGAAGCAGTGTGGTGCTGCAAAATCAGAGAAATCTGAGGTTTTATGTCTACAATTGGGAGCAGCAGCTCTGAGAAAGTATGTGTTCTAGTTCTTAAAAGATTCCTTGTCAAGTAGAGAGGGACAGAATAGAATCCTTTAATGCTCATTTCCCAGAATCTCAAGATATAACTACAAGGCTGATTGATCTAAAGATACTTGATCAATAAGAGGCCAATACAATTTTATCATTTGAAACTGAATGTTTTATCAGTGCACATCGAAACGGCAGGTTTATGGGGCACACAAATTTAAAGGCTACTAAACTCTGGAGCAATTTCCATGAACAATTAATGCTTCACTCCTTGGAGTTTATACTTCCCAGGCAGGCTTACACAATTATTTGTTCCATTTTCTGACTCATTCCAAAGTCTTTAGCAAAAGTGGCCTTGATCTATTTAAGGTTGGTAAAAATGTATTTCTAGTATATATGTTTATAACAAATAGAATAGAAGCTGTTAATTACATTTATTATTGATCTTGCCTCCACACCAAAAATAGAAAATCTACCACAATGATCAATGATAAGTGTAACAAAGAAAAATGAGCTTATGTTCAAGGAAATATATGGTATTCCTTAAAATACAAGGTTCTAAAACTTTTCTGTTTTTCATATTATTAAGGGACTTTAATGAGAAACAGGAGACTTTGATTTGTTGAGCAACCTGATTAAGACTTTTAATTAGCCCATCTAATCTATTATTTATGTGGTAAGGTCAGGTCACTGTAGGATACTGTTACATTATTTTCAATTTATGTGCAAATTTCAGGATCAAGGTATGTTTTTCTGCATAAAATGAATACAAACAAGACTAATCATAGTATATTATATATGACCCCATCTAGTGAGTTATCTCACATTCACAACATGTAAAAAAAAATAATCTGCCTATAGTATTTCAATCAAATCTTCAAAATTTAATGTGAATAAAGATTTAGTATGGATAAAGATGATTACTGAACCAGAACTCAAGATAATTTTTTTAATGTATGATAGAATTATTTACAAATAGTTTGGCTACAAAAAAGAAAACAACATACTTTTAAGCAAATTCTAAGTAAAATTGTAACAACTGTGCAATTTGATTAAAATAATTAGTACTTCTGATGCTCAGATTTTTCACCTGATATATGAAGATAATTGAAGTTCCTGTGTAAATAGTAGAGTTGTGGGAATGTAAAATGAGATACAGTATACAAAGTTTTTAGTACATGTTTGAAATTCAGGGGAAAAGATGTTAATGCTAGTTTTCCAGCTTCAAGCCACATTTAGTTTCAATTACTGAGCCTTTCTGTCCTTTTTATCAACAATTAAAGTTGCATTTCCCAACTCCTCTGAGAAAACTTTCTAGACAATTTGTGTCTCATTTTGCTCAAATCCTTCATGAACATATTCTGTATTAAATATTTTCATTCCCTCCCTAAAGGAAATCATTCATATGCTTGTTCTACTTTGCCCATGGCACCAGCTAAATGTTCAATACATATTAGTTTCCTTCTATTGCCTTGATTATGATGTATCTAATGCAACTTTCTATAATACAATGAAATTTACTTTCCATGGGGAATTAAGTCAATAATTTAACACAGAGGTGGGGTGATTACTTCATGATTTTTCCCACTACAATTAAAACCTTGTGTCACAAGGTACAGAGATGAAAATTATTCCAATAACACAGCAGAACCAGATAGCTTCAGAAGATTGTACTTCACTCAATGATCTATACTGTATCTCTACATGCTCTGTTTTGGGAATGCTTATTTTCTCCTATATTTCCCCAGTATTTGGACAGACTTTTCTCACCATAATTTAACAACTTTAAACTTTTAAAAATTGAGATATAATTGATTATTATTTTAATTTAAGCTGTATGACATAATGGTTCAATATTTGTATAAATTGTGAAATGATCAACAGAAGTTAACATCCACTGTACAATTCTTCAACTCTTGTGATGAGAACTTTTAAGATTTTCTTTCTCTGTAAATTTGAAATATACAATAGCATATTATCAACTTCCTATTAGTTTGTGTTCTAGAATGGTTGTTTCACTTTATAAATTTTTGTAGAAATCACTTTAAAATCAATTTGATTTATGAAGTAGAGAGATAAAATTTATAATCTGCCACTTATTTTTATATAAATAAGCTACTTGCTTCCTGAACATTAACTTGTAATATAAGGAGACATACTTCTTAATACATTCATAGGCAGGTGAAAGAACATACCTATTCTTTTGCTTTATTTTTCAGTTAGCTTCCCTGGGAATATGGAGGATAAAATCAAATTCTAAAGGAGTGAGTAATCAGGGCTACTTCAAAGTAGCTCTCTCATAAAACTCTGGTGAATGATCACATCACCAGATCCCAAATCCCAATTTTTAACTGTCTCAGTGAAATGATAATTTAATAGGAAATAAACAAAATTAAACAGCATTCAGGTTCGGCTGTTCAGTCCCAGGGCTTGCCTTCAAGTGTGTAAGTGAGCACAACAGAGGTATGTCTTTCCTCAGCAGTATGTATCAGTCCTATTCTGGAAGTCAGAAAGAACTTTACAAGTTTTAAAGTTGTGCAAATGTATTTATAATTGTTTATTACATTTTCTGTGTAGTTTTTGTAAAGAACATTCTAGTGTGGTCATATTTCACATTTAGCACGAAAAATGATACCAAGTTACTCGCCAATTGTTAGGACAGTATTTTATGTCACATAAGAATAGCTCTCAAGTTAAGTGCTGGTTGAATTATACCTGGTTGAAGTTATCTTACATATACCCACACATTTCTAGCCTCCTAACTCATTTTTAGTGGCTTATTTTTAAGTTGAAAAATAGATTCAGAAGAGAACACTTCTACATATTAGAAAAGAGATGGCATAGATCAAAAAAAGTTACAAGTGTAGTTGAAGAATGGAGGTGCTTTCATCACCTAACACGTAATTATAAACTCAGTAATTATGAAATCTCTTTCAATTGAATTCTATGTACTTCTACATTATGGCAAAACATTTTATAAATGTTAAGCAAAGATGAAATGGTTAGATAATAGATGTGCTTCCAAATAAAAGTGGTTTCTAGAAACTTACCAGTTGTACAGTTTTTAAATTCAATATCATCAATTGCAGCTCCCCCTCCTAGATCCCGTGTTCTGATTCCTTGAAATATAACTTCAAAATTTCTTAACTTTCCAAGAAGGATGGAAGCCTTTTGCCAATGATCACCAGCATGCTGTGCACTTTCTTGCCATACTTTGGATAGTCCTTTCTCTGTCTGAAGATAGAGAAGTTTGATCGGGAAAATAACAAATATGAAATAAAGATAAAATTCTACAGAACAGAAGTATTGACCAATGAAAACTGAGATAAGAAAGACTGGAATTTTGATACCACCTATGATATATTTTACTTCATTAAAACACAGGCATGTTAATCTAGTCAAATGTCTAAAAGTTATGATAACAGCAGTAGCAACTAACTTATTTTAGAATTTGCAGAGACACTGTTGTTTAAAAAAGTGCCCTGCTAGATTAAATTCACTTCTACTTACCTATATAAAGAATTCTTCATTTGATGGAATCTAAGCAATTTACAGGACCCCTTAATTTCTATTTATATTATTTAATTATTAAAATGAACCCTCTTCAAAATGTTGAAATAACTTACAAAAGAGGGGAAAAATTCCTGAAAGGAGCTATATACAGAATATAATATTGATCCCTACTGGAAAAAGGAATTTTGAAGAGAATATGTGATCACTTCTAAGATCCCTTTGATTCCAAAGATTCAATAAGACATGATGGTGTTATTTTGAATATTTAAACATTTCCAATATAATGTGACTATATGAACATCAATTGTATTTCTGCAGTTTTTTCAATTGTAAAGAGAAAATTTACTTTTCTGAATGACATTTGTAAAATTTTCCTTTCAATGGTCTGCTAGTAGTATAATATTCTTACGTACAAATAGTTCCTGCATATCATGTATCCTGTATTTCATGACACAACATACATAACATACAAAATTATCTTACTGACTAAGTAAAAATTACACCCTCTAAAAACAGAACATAATAAGCCAATTAACTGAATTAAAAAGGCTTAAATTACTTATGTTGTTTGTCCTAAACTAAGTCTCTCCTGAAAATTAAATGTTTTAAAATCTTGACGATGGATAATAGCAATGATAGGAAATACATAATGTCTTCCCAAAGAAATGGAAAATACCTATGTTACAGAATATTATGCTTAAAATTAGTCCTAAATGATAAATATTTCAGGATCCAATGTTGTGTTTTTATAGTGAATTCACAAGAAAACTGTGCCTCTGAAGATGGTAATCAAAGCAGTAGAATAGAGGGGAATATTCAGTGAAATGGCATCCAGAAAATCAAAATAAATGTTTCACCAGATTTTTAGCACATAATTGTAAAACACATAATTTATAGATTTTTAAATACAGTCTAAAGAAATAAAGATGAATATTTGAAGAAAGTATCCAAAGAAGCTACACATTTATAGTTTCATGCTTCCAGAAAACAAATACTAGTAAACATGGCTGACATCTTGTTCTTTTCAGGGAGTAAGAGATCAATCAAACATTCTTCCTCTATTACAAAAAGAAAGTAGAGCTACTTATCAATTAGTCTAAAATTAACTTTTCAAAACAACTAATCATGTAAAGATAGATCTTTCATGTCCTTTTTGAAACAACAATACATCTTTACACCCTGAGACTCATGTAACTTCTGCATTGTAGGGATAGTAAATTCACACCTAATTAATTACAACTTCATATCTTTCTGAAGTCTACAGAAGAGAGAGGCTAGTCAAGGTTAGTCTGACTTCCAGTGATGGCTTAGTGATTTGGAATCAAAAGGATGATTAGTTAAATTAAAGATTAAAGTAGAAAGTGTCTGTCTGACACTTAGCAATGCAAAAGACATAGATATTGATGAAAGTCTGTCTTAATTTATAAATTTAATTTATTCTGATAAGTTTTCCTATTAATCTCCTGTATTTTATAGAACCACTCATTAAGTGTGCCCACACCCCAAATGGATTTTAATGAATATTCTCAAAGAAGTGTGTATGATCACTATAATCAATAAAATGGGAACCATTTCTTAAATCTTACAGCTGGTCTTTTAATAAATAATAGTTATGAGTACTATAGTCATTGCCATTTATGTGGTAGGAAATGGTGGAAAATTCTTTTGAAAATCAATCAGTCAAATTAATAATGGGTTATAGTAGAATATCATCTAATACATTTGCTGTTATTCTATGTGGGACAAAAAATAAAAATATTACATCACAATTACCAAAATTATTCATCAAAATGTGCAGTGGAGATTCACTTATTTGATGATTTCTCCATCTAGTCATTCATTTATCCATCATCATTTGATGCTCACATAGTTCTTTATGCTATGTTTGACCCCAGGTCTAATGTACAGAGTGTAAGGAGTTTACGCTATGGAGGCAGTAATATCATATAGGAGCTAGTCAGAAAAGTAAATCTGTATAAAAGTTCTGTGTATAAAATATTAAATATTTTAAAATTCATACATATGCATAAAATGTTACAAAGAGAAACTTTTTAATAAGTGGTGATACAGCAATATCCTATTTTTTTGTTCCATATTTATTGCTGCTTTATTATTCTGATTCTAATTCTTTAAATAGAGAGAAAAATGTCTCGCTTCCAATTCATGACTTTGACACTGCCAAGGATTATTTCTTTTGTACTCCACTACACATTAAATTCAAAAAACAAGGCAGCAAACATATAAAAAGTAACTAACCACACTAATAATAGTAAAAAAAAAAAAGGACATTAAATCAAAGTAGATAAATTTTAGAAATTGAAGAAACTCTCTCTTATAATTTAACCTTTTTCCCAACTTGGAATTGATTTCACATGTATTATGCATATCTTTTTCTTTCTTTCTTTCTTTCTTTCTCTTTTTTTTAAGCATGGTGTATTTTCTTAAAGATTTATTTATTTGTGCATACAGAACTGAGGTACAGGCCAATGTGCAGGGGCAGTGAGAGAATTTACCAGAGACAGAGTGGGGAGCAGAACAGGAAGATCAAGGAAGTACACTGCTGAGGGAGGCAGCGGGTGGGTAAGGAGAGGTCTGCCACGCCATGTGGGTAACCTCCAGGGTGGGGGATCAAACTCACACCCAACTGGCTGTGGCTACCTTGCAGTGCTGCATTTTAATACATTACACCACCAGGGAGAGCCCATAGGATCTTTAGATAGAAATAAAACGATTAAAAAAGGCAGATTGGAAAATCAGGAAGGAAGAAAAAAACACAGCAAAAATATAGTGTGGTATGTGCATTTATTGATGTTTGAAGTTATATTCCTGAAACATATAGTAAGCTACTGGTATGCCAATAAAGTAATAATAAATGAAATAAAATACTTTCTAATATAGTTCTAAATGTATGTGAAAAATAAAGGCATAAGTATTATAAGTGGAATGTGTAAAGGCACAGAGGTAAAATAACTCTAAACTTGAGTCAATCCAGACTTAATGTTTCATTTTAATAGGTCTCCATTTCAATTCATTTAGTTCCCACTCATCTTTCAATGGAATAATCAATTCCTCATGGCCACCTTTATTGACCTCCCAAGGTTACTAAGTGAAAAACCTACCACATAGTCAGAGGTCTGTGTATATCTCCATCATAGCACTTATTACACTTAAAGTCCATAAGAATGAGGGACTTTTCTGCTCTTATTTACCTTTGGTTTTTCTTCCTAAAACAGAATTTGGGATAGTGCAGATTTCAAGTAATTATTTGTTTTATCAATGAACGTATATTTAATTGCACACCAATGAATTAGATGTTGCATGGACTGTTAATATTGACTGAAAGTTGGCTCAGAGCTTCCCTACACAATTTCTCCTGGATGTTGTATTCTTTTTCTTATATAGTTAACAAATAATTTCTATGGGATAAAATTGTGCAACCAGTCATGATAAACAGTTTAAAAATAAAAGCTATGTCCTGTAAACAGTAAGTTATTACATTCATATAGGCAATTTTCAATATATATATATATAATTATATATATATAATTTTTTGAAATGTGATACAAAAAGGAGTTAGAATTACCTATAATAAAAACAGGTTATAGTGCTAATTGTTCTACAAAGTTAAATTCAGAACAGCTTCTACAAGGTTTTACCATATTCTTGTGGTAGAAAAGGCTCACTAACCCAATTAAAGTTCCCAATCTATGATATTCAAGGTGATTTTCTATTTAGTAGCTGATGACTGATTTCTACTGTCTTTCACACTACATTTGATTTCTGAAGGAGAAAAACATTCATATAGTTGAGTATAGAAGAACAATGGGAACAAATAAAAATGAGAAGTCCTTAGGAAGCATCTGACAGGAAGAGTAATAAGAGGAGGCAGCAAGGTCTAGAGCAAAATGCCAGTCATGAATGATTGTATCTGTCCCTTGGCACACTGCTGTTTGCGAGGGTTGATAACCGTTGGATGCAAACTGAAAAGCATTTTATGACAAAATTATTGGATCTAACCTAGCACACTTGTCTTACCTGAGAAGGGGGGAAATGAAAAAAAAAATATGTATGAGAAGGGAAATGTGTACAAATGATTAGGATGTTTCAAGCTAACCTCATTGCATCAATTTCTCTTTCCAAAAGGAAACTGCTATACATATTTTATAAAGCAGGAATAAAATTTTTCAGTAGATATTAAGATTCTCAATATGAAATCCTCCGAAAGTCAATTCTGACTAGTAATAGACAAAAAATAAAAATGTACAAAGGGGCCCTCCCTGGTGGCACAGAGGGTTAAAGCACAGCACTGAGAAGCTAAAACCAATTCCGCATGAGTTCGATTCCCGCCTGCCTCGGAGGTGACCACATGGCGTGGCAGACTTCTCCTGACCCGCCCGCTGCTCCCCTCAGCAGTGTACTTCGTCGATCTGCCTGTTCTGCTCCCCACTCTGTCTCTGGTGAAGCCTCTCACCACCCCTGACCCTCTGGCCTGTACCCCAGCTCTGTATGCACAAATAAATAAATCTTTTTAAAAAAAATGTACAAAGGTGTTATTATTTAGCAAAGTAACCATTATGTATATAGGAGAATGAGAAATTTTTCCTGATAGAATATATATCTATATCACTAGATTCACAAAAAAATAGGAGTATAAAAAATTCTAACTTTTCCCTCAAAATATATTAATGAAATAAGAGATACATCAAAAAATAATTACAAAT